TTAATTTATGAAGCCTTTCTTTTCCAAATAAAACATTTGAATTCTTAAAACGTTATCAGAGCAAAAATCTGTAGCACAAGTCATACTTTATGATAGTATTTATGCTTCTGTGCTTGGTAACCCAGAATCTGTGGAATCTTCATTGGTGTTTTGTTAGAGCAATCTGCTATTAATTGAAATTCTAATTATTGTTTTATCAGATTTACAGTATGGCTGGCAACTCCTTGATAGATTTCGATCCATATGAGTTGTTAGATTTGAAACCGGACTGCACGGACACGCAAATTGTAAAAGCATTCAGGAAAGCTGCTCTGAAGTGGCATCCCGACAAAAATCCCGATCGTAAACAAGCAGGTAATCTATTTCGTTTATTCAATCACGATTTTTTAAACCGTTCTTCCCCAAAACATAGTGCGTTCATTAATTTTAGCACAAGAAATGTTCCTGAAGATATCCAAGGCTTTTGAGTTGTTATCGGATGCAGCGGCTCGAGCTGCTTATGACCATGTACTGGCTGCTAGAACAGCACATACCATTTATGTACGAAGAAGACGAAATAATGAAGGCGAGAAACGACGGAAATTACGTGAGGAACTTGAAAGGCGAGAGGCTAATGTGTTAAACGTTCAACACGAGAAAGAAAAGGCCAAAAGGGAGCTTGAGAAAGAGGTATTTTCAAATTTGCCCATTCTTGTTAATTGGCTTGTAATTTACTTAATATGGCTCCATTTTATGATATTTATAAAATTTGGTCAAAGTCAGTTCATAACTCACAGGTCTTATTTTATTTGAGAAAGAAAAGTTTCAGATTCAACGTCTACGGAAGGAAGGTTCCAAACTGCTACAACGTGAAAGAGAAAATATTGAACAACAAATTCGTAAAAATGCGACTGTGGAAGAGCAGAGCGGTGATAAACGTAACTTTTAACGCCTTCTTCGTTTTAGGTTTTAATCACTTTACACTTTATTTAAGGAAATTGAATTCTCCAAGAAATCTATTTGTATTTCCAGGGTTATTAGCCTGTTATAAATTAAGATGGAAGTGTGAAACTGGTCAATGTAATTATGATGAAGATGATTTAAGGAAATTATTCTCTAAGGTGAATTTTTTAAAATTATTTGTCGTGGAATTTCTAAATTACTCAAATAAGAGAAAGGTTGTTTTCTTTTTCACACTCAGAATGGTTACTTCAAATGCAGTCAGCTTAGTGGTGTTTGACCCTCGAATACGGTGAAATATGTTACATGTTATTTCAGTATGGACACATTTCCGATGTAATCGTTTCAAGCAATAGCAAAGGCATGGCAATTTTGGAATTCGATGAATTGTTGGATGTAGTAAGTATTGTGGATGAAAACGTTTGTCAATATTCGAAAATTTGTTTGGTTTCACAAATTTCATATGTTGTCTTTATTTTCAGGATGGGATTGAAAAAGAAACGGGGAAACCTGATGTTCCAATTGCTACGACATGTTTGCGAAAACCGTCTTCCAGGTTGAGAAGTTCGGAAATACAACGAAGTAGACCAGTAGGTAAGATTTATTTCTTTTGCGTAAATTTTCGATTAAAAACACTTTTTGGTCTACAAATAAATTTTTATAATTGACCAGAAAGTGAGATCATCATGAAATACTGCACTGCAGAACGGCCGATGACATCTGTTGAATTCGCTGATTTTGAAGCTGAAGTTTTGGCGACGATGATGGCTGGGTCAAAGCGGAAAGCTGATAAAGGCGAAAGCAAATTTGATAATTTGTAATTCGAATTTTTAGCTGATAATTTTTTTGCTGGTAGCAATTTTTCAATAGAATACAATGGAAAAAAAATTAAGACTGAAAAAAAAAGAAAAAAAAAACTAGAACTGAATCATTTTGTTGTTACCAGAGTCGAAAAAAATTTTTTTTTTTTTCAGTTCTCTAAAAAAAATCGCAATTAGTAAAACTGAAGTACTTCAGATTTTTAAAAATTTAAATCTCCAGCTAGATTTTTTTTTGTCAGAGTTTTGCACACTAAACTTTTGCGGTTATTAGACAAGTGGAACTCTCACTGCTTTGCTTCATTGAAATTTGTAATGTATTATTTGTAAATATTATTTTTTTATGTGATTAATGTTTCATTTCATACCTCGCTCGACGTATTCAGTAACCTCAATATAAAATCTTTCATTCGTGTTACATCAAATGCAAACAAGATTACATCATTATATGTTTAAGCAAATTCTTCATGATTTTTTATAGTCTGTGCATTCATTAATGATATTGATTGTTTTGCAAACGGGGCCTAATTTGTTTACACTGAAAATAATGCTTGTTGTGGATGATGTTGTTTTTCATGAAATTCTTATTATTTTTTATTTTCATGTATTAGTTTAAGATTTCAGGCAGAAGGATTGTTTTTTCTCATTATATTTAAGTCTTTTAATTTTACTTCTGTTTGTTCCAAATGTTCAAATTTAGCTGTAACGGATTGGATCGTTTTTAATAGGATCCTACAAGAAGTTTAAAATTTCTGAAACTGTTCGTAGTTGCACTGAATCGTACAATCAAAATCTTAGACGGAAATATTAATCTAAATATAACATTGAATAATTTGTTGAATAACTTACTGCACTCACTCTTCAGAAATTATTTTATATTTGTTTACACAACTATATCCAATATTTTAATGTTAACAGTAGTTTATTTCTTATTCATTAGTCATCAGTATTGAAGAAATGATGATGTCTTCTTCATCAGTACTTCGATTAGATAACTAAGCTCATAGGAGAATGTTTTTAGACAGTCATGAAAATGCATGAGCAGAGATTTAAGTAGCGTACTTCAAGTTAAAACACATACGTATTTTGATTGTCATTTTAAAAGAGCTTATAACTACATTAGTATTTCTGTTAAGGTTAGCAGGTTCAATTCAGTCAATTAACGGTTCTATTCAATATGTGCACATCTCGAAGATGTAGTATTCAGCTGATTAACCATTATTTCAAAAAAAGTAATGTCATTCTGTTAGTCAGATCAAAATGAGCTGAAGCAAAGTAGTAGAAAATACCAATTGAAATACTTTAATTTATTTCATTCCCTAAACGGATGATGAATTCAGTTTAGCTGAATTTGTTTCATTCTAGAATGAAATGGAATGAACTTTATAATATATGTGATCCAAACAGCTTAATCTATATTAGCTTAATGGAGAATGGTTTCAGTCATTTAATTTCTCTTCAGTTCAATATAATCTGAATAAAAAACTTTTTTTGAGTAAAGTACTTTCTTAGAGGACATCTTTTCCTTATAGACATATACGAACAAGTAGCTTCTTCAAATCTTTCTTTTTATACCTCTCGGTTTAAACTAGCCTTTGGGAACATTAAATTAAAAACACAGTTAATTTTATGGGGCGAAACGCAATCCTTATGAAGTTATCAAAAACGATTTTTCCTATCAGAAAGAGCAATTTTTTGTTGGCATCACAACTGAGTGTCGAGAGATTGACAATAGTATGTTATGTCGTTACTCAGCCATTAATTAGCACAAGCAAAATCCGAATGATCATCAGTTGATATAAATCTATCTTAACAATTTACACTGGGTTTTATTTAGAAATGATTACTTCGTAAGCTAAATTGGTAATAAACTCATCAAGGCTTTGCCAGTGAAAGAATGACAATTTTCTCAGCTTTCTGATCAGTTAGCTGTGTTACGATAGGCATGAGCCACTTTATCACTAAATGATAGAATTATCAAATTAAAAATCTTTTCAGTGTATTTCTCTTTTCCTTCCTGAAGCTATTCCATTTCCAGTAAAGACATTTATAATTTTTACAACATTTACAATTTCCTCAAAAACGCGAACGATACAGCTCCTCATTCCACTTAATAGAAACCATTTATGGAGAAAGAAACTGTAAATAGGAAGTAGAACCCAATCGAATGCAATCATTCCGTCCCGAAGCAATTGTCATTCTCTCAAGCTATTATCATTTGTATTCCACAGCAAAAAATGTAGAACGGAATCGCATAGTTTTTAAAACATGCTTTTTAATCGATTTTTCTAAATAACTGAATGATTTACAAAAAGTCTAATATCCTTCTTGAAGGATTTATCTGATCTTTGAACATTCTCACATTTCCAATAAAGGAAAGCTAAAAAGTAATTCTCTACAGTATGACTTTCGCTATAATCCATTATGTGTACTTTTACCAGTTACTATGTACTGTATTCGTTGAAGTTAAACTATTTAAAGTCATAATATTGTTACAACAATAATGAAATACAAATGCAAAATATTTCTTTTATTTTGAGGTGACACAAACAACTTGCACGATATTTCATATTCAAATTTGCTACGTAATTTAAATTACTTTTATCTTCCTCTTCTAGTGAATAAATAAATAAAGGGAGGTATCGACGATAGTAAAATGCACGTTAAGGATTAATTTCAAATTAAATTACTCTTTCAATTCGTTATAATATAACAGAACTTTGTTTATTGAACACATATTGCACGGTATTCAAGTGAATTAAAATAACAAGGCTAACTGTACTGAGAGAAGTTAATCAAACAAAAAATAAATTCAACTGAAAGTTCATCTCTGAATTTCATTTCTTTTCCTTTTAAAACGAGCAATTTTCTTTTTGTTGCAGAATAAAACTTCCCAAAGCATATCGTCAGTTAATATAAACTTTTACTGATTTCTTAATAATGAGAAATCGCTTAAGTCGGATATTTGATAATTGATATTATAAGGCTCTCTCTACATAGAAAACGATATAGGAAAGAATCCATGGTGGAGAGCAGTAAGAGCGGAATTCGTATAAGAACAGCTGTTATCAGGAAGCATCGAGAGAGAGAGAGAGCGACTGGACTGGGTTGTCTTGATGATACTGTGTATCACTCGATGCGATTTATCTCCATATCAAGTACAAAATCAAAATATATATGTGATGGACCCGTCCGTTAATGAAAGAAAATTCTGTTAAACTTAGAAACATGAAAAACCAAAAATTAACATACATCAGAACAATGCGAACAACATAACTTGTCATTCCAGAAGATTGTGCAATAACGTCGTAAATGGGTCAGTCTTTGAGGCATTTTTGCCACACATCTTTCGGCTAGAGATTGGGCAATATCCTTGACTTCAACAGTACCCGTTGGATGTGGTGGAATTCGTCTGAAAATAAATCCGTAAGGTTAAAGAAAACTTGCAATACGATTATATTATACAAATTTGATAACATTCAAATTTTCCAATAATCTTTAGTGTGAGGTCGATTTGAAATCATAGATAAGTCACATGATCTTGGGAATGATGGAATGAATGAATAGATTTAAGTTGAATTTGCTGACAAAGAATTATAGAGCCAGAAGAAATCGACTTACCAGCTTTCACAGTTGAGTAATTTGGTGATATACATATGCACATTACAAATATGTTAAATCACTGAAATTTAAATTCCAATATAATTTAACAAAAAATTTTCAAGTAGAAACTCACTGTATTATCGGTATTGAAGTAATAGCTTCCTGATTTGGATAATTGTTTTCTTTCAAGAATTGAATAACGTCTGCATATGATGTTGTCGTGCGATAATTAAATTCAACTGTATAGCATGCAACGATGCGTGCTGTATGATGCAAACAGCGCCGTGCCCAGTTATTCTTGCACTCTTCTTTACTGCAGTACAAGAAGCTTAGTACACCATGGCACGAAGCGTCACGATCATCCCAGCAGCACTGACACTGAAATTTTGTTTTTTTTTTTTTTTTCTTTTCTTTTAATCTTGTAATTTTGCATACTATTTCGGAGATGCGAGAAATTATTAAATTTTCGATAAAAATTATGAAAGGTTGTCGATTAGCAAGGGATTCACGTGCCTTACTTTTATTTCAAAATATTTGAAGCACAAATTTATTCCATAGGAAATAAATTTTTAGTTAAAGTTGAATTTATGAAATAATCATTTAAGTAATTACAAAAGATTATCTAGAGCTTACTTGATTTCCTAATCTGGTTTACTCATAGTTCAGGCTTAGGATTCAAATTGAGTAACAGAAACTTTTGTCTTTTATTATCATGACAACAAGAAAGGAATCTGAACGTCCCAACGATAAATCATTAATCAAATAAGAATCAAGTAAACTGACTATTCAGTTCCTAACAAGACAACAAAAAAAAAACACACGAAAATTTTACATCAGCAGATTTCGCAAACCAATCATCTTGCTTGATTGCTGGTTGTTCGGCACTGATTAAGTTCAGAAATATTTGAAATCGACCTCGCTGAAAATGTTTTTTATTTAAGAACCTCAAAAACAAGACATTAATTATGAAAACATTTATAGAATTCTTCTTTATGCTTATCTTTCAATATGAAATAGTTTCTTAAAGTAGCTCCTACCTTGCTACTTCAGTTGCATTAAATAGAAAGTAACGTGCTTCACTTGCGCACTCAGTTAGGTCACGTCATTTTCAGCAGCATTTGCTAAGATTGAGAAGTTCAGGAATATAAACCTATCGGTCTATGAAGGTCACTAACTCGATTCTTTTTGTTCTCAAATTAGTGTAAAGGAAATGAATCTTCTTTCAAATCTGCTGAGTGAACATAAACAAAATACTTTTTTGTTTAGGCGTTCACGAATCTCACCATCCAGGCCTTGAACCTTTTCGTTGATCCGTGCTAACAGTTCACGTCTACCAGGCAAATTAATCGTTCGATTAAACTCGTAAATATTCGACGCAATTCGATTACAAACTGGCGCAAATTTCTCCTCTGTGCCACGTGCCACTTCAGGCAAAAATAAATGGCCTTTATCATTCAAATCTGTCTCTAGCTTAGCGGTAAGCCCACAAATATCGCAATAACGACTGGAATATCCAGTAAGTTCGGTAAGCGTGACATATGGAATAGTAATGGAATATTATGTTGCACTGATAAGATTCAGTAGCTCTAATGATAATGAAAAACGTTGAATACTTGATAAGTACTATTCCGGTGGGAATCTATTGCCATATATTATTCTTTCAAAAAAATGAAACATTTTGATTCTGAATCTTTTTATGGGCTTCTTTTCTGAATTTTTAATATATTTTTTTATATGCAGGAAAAATCTGAATTTAGCAAACTTCTACTGAACAATTTGATTTCAAACGAAGAAAAAGGAAGTTTGAAATCTTTCACTCAAATCAACTTTTTTATGTATCATTCGCTACCATTGCCACAGTACTTCAATGAGGGACCTTCCAGAAACGTTATATCTCGTAGGCTTCTAGTGTTCTAAATTTAAAGTCTGCGAAATCCCCCACAATCCATAATTATTACAATTTTACCAGTACTGTCGATTGCCACGCTCTACAACACCGCTGTGCTTGTCACATTCTTGATCCAAAATTCCCGTTTCCGGTACCACTGTATAAGGCAAGTCAAAACGAATTCCTAAAGTACCAATTACGAAACAAATATTTCTATAATATCGTTCGTTCGAAACATTTCGAAAATCTGCATTTAAATTTGAATACTAACCTGCAGGACCTTCGATTATTGGCACTTGAAGTGTGACACCAATCTCGCCGCTTAAATATCCAATATCTGTGGTAACAACAAGTTTCTTGAAATGTAAAGAGTAACTGCCGGGTGCCTTGATGAAGTACACACGATTACCTTTCTCATTCACAATATCAATATCATCTTCTGTTAATTTAATCTCATTTTTAGCTGCAAATATTATGAATGAAAAGAAAGTGATCAATCGAAGGTATAATTAAATAGTAAGTAATAACAATTCCTGTTCAGTTAAATAAATGATATTTTCAAGTGTAAAAATTCGTTGCATTCATTTCCAATCATTTTCTTTCACCAAAGCCTAAAGATAATATAGGAAGGCAAAAATGAGATATTTGATGTATTTTCTTCCTTAATAAACTATAGAAATGCATACCTCCTCGACATGTATAAACACTAATTTCATCAATGAGAATATAAAGATTATCGTCATAGTCAATAAGCGTTTGTCGTTGTTGAGAGTGGACGATTGTTAGAGTGACACATAGGACAACTATGATCAGAAGCACCGAGACGACGTGGTTATTGGTTCTGCTCGATGAATTTAACCATAAACCATTCAAAATGAACATATTTATCCCTGAATTACTCGGTCAATTTTTTCCTCCTCTTTTTGGTACTGATGAAGAGCAATAATGAATATAAAATGAATTAGAAACGAAATTGGATGGATATTCGTATCCAGAAAATGATGCTGAACAACTTTTATTACCAATCGTAACGACAGGCAACGATACTGCGCTGAAAATGGAGAACGATCACTGTATCATATGCACCACCGGTCTGATTTGATTCCAAAATCAATTGCTATTTTCCATCGTAATAAAATGACAATGATAAATGTGTTTGTTAATCGTAATGTCAATTATGGTACTTATAAATAAAATAACAATTTCATTGGCAACGTGAGTTGAGTTTTCAGGCCTTCAAGTACAAAATATGCATAGAATATGAAATAGTATAGTGAAGTAATGTCAAGTCAAGAATTGTTTACATTATTATAGAATAGGGGAAAAAAATTTAAGAAAAAACATCCAAAAATAACTGAAATTGCAAAATAGTACTCTGAATAAAATGAGATCTGAAAATTTTCATTTAACTTTTTCATTGATTTTTAAACTTAAATCAACATAAATGAAAGTTAGAAGCATGCAGTAAAATGCATTCATGCTAAATGATATTGCATCACTGTATCATATGTTAAATTGACACATGTAGAAGTTTTTTAAGCACGAAATTTTAGCAAAATAACTGTTACCGTTAGTAAACTAATCTAAGTTATAAAATTTGTTACAGAATCTTGCGTGGGAGGAGAATGGAAAGAATTGAAGTTATCTGATAACGGAGAAATTTTTAAACTCATATAAATTCAACACTGCATTTTAGGGAAAGTTTCAATTGGTAGATTGAAATTTTGATTGCTAAATGGTTACTAGAAAATGGTAATGCGTGATGTCAGAGAAGATGCGAATGCCGAAGGGCTTCTAAGGTGTCAGCCGACACTACCGGCCATTTTACAATTCTTTCGATTCGTACCCTTCCATTTTCTTTCTGCTGCCTGTTCAATCTCATTTTATTTTTCAATTCACCTAATTTACTTTTCACTCTCAACTGAATTCAGAAGTTTTCAAAATATTACAACCAGTTTCGGCTGTAATTCAAAATAAACATAGCAGCACTGTAAGTAAAATTAATCGCATAATGTTATGTACTTTGAGTGTTAATAAATATCGGAGATCGAATTCTTCGATATTTCTCCTGAATTCTTAAAATATGTTTCATTATGATATCAACTTTCAATTCCATCGATAAAACAAATAAACAAACTGAATATGATTGAACAGTTAGGAATAGGAATTGCTGAGAAAACTGGAATATCACCAGTTGAAGAACCATTTGCCTTAACAGCTCACAACTCATTTTGTATTCTAATTTCTGTCCCATTGTGCAAGACTTCAAATATGGACTGATGAAATTTTATACTTCATGAAATCATAAATCATTCAATGAATTTACCTAAAGATCCGTATAAAACAATGATAGACATCTGTACAACACATATCTGCACTTGTAGAATTACTAGATTCAAAAGATATGAAAAAGAAGTTTGAAGACCATATAATATATGCTAAATAATTGAAATAGACGATGAGATACAACGTTAAGTGATAAGCTCAAAGAAAAATATCAGCTTACAATAGCGAGAATGAGAATGAGATATTCTGACTAATGTATGCCATCCAATTTCACTTCCTGGATAATTAAAGTAATCGACTTTGAAATTCAAATTTTAATAATAGAGTTATTCTGAAAAAATCAAACGATACCATCAGAAATGATCGACCAATAATGCCAAAACGTTCCTTGATGGAAATATAAAATGATCTTTGTTATAAACTGTAAGATCCTTCATAAAAAAGACTGTTACCAAATAAATCTGTCACAAAAAATAAGTCCTTCCTATTATTTGAAAAAGCTTAACAATAGCAAATATGTACATATCAAATAATCCTAGCAAAGATGTGACAAATGTGAATTCATCACGTAATAATATCATATCGAAAGTTTTAAGACTGAAATGAATGGTTAAAACTTTAAAAATTTGTTATGCAATAACAAGATATAGTAACGAGATATGAAGTGCAAGGATTCGTAGTAGAACTGGAAGTTAATCAACCTTCATCAAATGGTATATATGTTATTAAGAAATTTCTCGTTCCTTCTGAAGGCACTGAAGATTTAAAAAAAAAAAAAAAAAAACAAGCTTCAGGGCAAATTCTTATCATTGCAAATTTGAAAATAGCTAGCTCTAAGGGTGGTGAACATCAGTTCAGTTTGTCCACTACCTTGTAGTTGCGGTGTAAAATCTTCAATAAGACGAATCTCGGCGCCTAAATGTTGTAGCTGAGCACGTACGGTCACATATACGAATGCTGGAAGAAGATCATCTGTAGTCCAAACATGGCTATCACCAGCTGGTGCAAACTGCGACACACACTGAAATCCATAAATTATCATTATAATCAATCGTTTAAAATGACGACCAACAATGAAATTATAAATTGGACTTAAATTTTATAACCAATTATTTTATCTATTCATGCCTATTCCAGTCTTATTTATAGGCACTTTCTGAAGATGAATAAGAGATTCACCTCAATTCCGCTTGACCTTTGAACTGTCCCGCAGCCTACTTCAAATTTCACATTCATTACATAATACAACACAGAACTATTTTTATTAGCAACTCAGAGAAACATAAGAAAACCCTATTTCTGCAGCATCTTATGGTGTAGAGACAAACATTGAGTTACATAAAAGGCAAAGGATATATTCCGGTCGATTTCATTTAGACTAAAAGTGTATTCATTCAACTAACAATGCTTCTTGAAGTAATATCTTTCTGGAAATATTTCCTTTTTATTTTCTTCTCAAATAATATGAATTAAGGGACTTAGTCGTGGTAACTAAATCCCATATATCTTCCAAATTTCACACAACTTTGATACAAAGAGTAAGAGATGGAAAAAATGTGGACGTTAAATCGACTGCTATTACACTTAATGATATCAACGACTGAATATTTTCACAGCAGGTAGCATTCTGTTCACGTTTACGGAACTGGAACAAACGTGGATAAGGATGGAAAGCTAAAATGGAAATTGAAGTTAAAGTAATTGGCTTCAGTTCAGTCCGAAAGCAATTTTTTAACTCTGACAAGTCCTTCAAATTCTAAGCTTGATTTCCAACGGTCGAAACATTTCCGAATTAAATCTGCAATTAGTCTTTGATAATACCTTTTTTGTTTGGCGGAAAATCTTCGAATGTGATTAACTTGCTAGGCTAATACAAAATATTTATAAAACATTTTTTTTTGCGAAATCTGGCCAAAATATTACAAGTCCCAAGCGTTGTATTGTACTTTCAAGTCGCGAATCTATTTTTAGTTGCAAGTTTGATTCTATTAATGGCAACCTGCAAGATCAACTTATATGCTTCTGCAAGACATTTTCCCAGGCATTACTGTATCATTAAATTTAAACATGAAATAATTATCTTATTTATATTGTTTATTTCATCTATCCAAACTTCTCTAGTGATACTTTTGGTATTTTTAATTCGTAGCTAATTAACCCTTTCGTCATTTATAAACAAGCAGGCATAATAATGACCCGATCTATGATGCCATTTGAAAGATAGTATTTCTTCTTTAGACATAGCCATATTTTTGCTATGCTCATTTCCTTCATGCTTAAGTCATATACACAATGCTTTCCACAGCAAATTATTATTGTTTGGCATTGCGAGTGCACAAAGAGAAAGGAAGGAGTATAGTTGGCCAAGAGTTTTGAAGAAAAGAAAGAGAATAAAATCATTTAAATGGACAGCAAGATGAATCAAAGCCGAAAGAGACCGACTCATCCAATACTTTGAGGCTGAAACTGCAAACTATCTTCTATTCATACTCTCTCTTTGTCATACTGATGAGAATGACAAATGATATCGCAAATATTTGTGGTCAGTATCACTGAGTCTCATGTCTCAGTTGTGGCACAACAACATAAACCATTACTTCCATATTAATCTTTCCGTTATTTGAGTGCATCAGTTTTTGAAAAAGACAATTTCAGTTTTTGAAAAAGACAATCCCTACTAGAATATCTTCGCGAAGAATAATTTACTGAGATAGTGCCTTGCGTGGATGTCATTTTGATTTATGACATATGAAAAGAAAAAAGTAATCAGTATGATAAGTTAATGAAATTGGATCACTATATTATTTTACTCATTACTAAACGTAAATATTTATAGTAATGAAATGACCAATCGCATATAATTTCCTCTTTCTCATTTAGTGACAGGGATGAATATAAAAAGAAAGTTTATTCAATCCACCCCCAGTGATATATCTAATTTATCTTCCCAACTTTAAAATAGCTCAAAATCGGAGCGGTAACTAACAATACTCTAGACATATATCGATTACTTAATCTGAATGTAAAAAAGAAAGCAGCTTATCTCTGAGTGATGATAACCTAAAAAAGACCATAATACGATGCTTCCTTCAGTAACTAACTTTATCACGGTGAAGCAAACTGCTTTCTCCATTTTTTCATATAACGTCCATCTGTCCACTTTTGCTCATTATCCTTCCTTATCGAAATGACCTGTGCACTCTCAATTTTTGAACGAGAAAACGAGTATGCACCACCCAATCCCGCCCATATCTTTTACAACGCATAATGACTACTATGCCTTTTCTCTTGTAGTCTTAAACAAACAAAGAATGTGGTTGTTAGCCAGACAATTAAATGTGTAAGGAGAGCAGACTGTTTGTTGACGAGAAGTCATTTCCAGATGAAATTGTCATTTTAAAGCTATCGTAAACATCCACTGAGCTGCTACATTTCACTTACTTTTCTTCATTGAGAAAATACTGAGGAAGAATTCCGGTGCTAACTGAGTGCATCAGTATCGTTAGATTTAGGCCTAATGAAATCACAAAGACTGCCCCAGCAACAGCACTCATATGGCACCTTCTGCCTCTTTTCAAACTTTAGCTATCGAATTC